AATTATGAACTATGACTTGGCATAAATACAAACGCGGCAATCGACACGCACGCAATTTTGGGCGCCAATAAACGCGTGACTTGTCGAATGATCCGCGCGCGGGTAAATAGTTATGAATCAGTTCTGTTGACTATTTGCTTCGAAGCTCCGGCAGATCATCGCAAACGTAAACACGAGGAGGATATAAAGAGGAATATTGACCGTGATTGACGGGTTACTGTTTTAATGGGGTGGGAGATTAAAAATTAGCTTCTCGTATTAAAATGGATGGAATAATATGGGAAACACAGATTGTGTCCTCGTCAATAAAGAACCTAAACTGATTAAATAAACTTCTTTTTGACAAATAGTATTCATGTTTTCAAAATTCGAGTCTCTTTGCTGCACAACCGCATGATAGACTGCTATCCTTTTAATTTATTTTTATGTGAGGCCTACTACACGAAACATTGAACTAGAATGATTTCTCAGCCAAAAAAGAAAAAGAAAAGAACAAAAAGCCCTTTGCCAAAAGAGCCTCTGAAAAGATTGAGTTTGCATCAAACAGTGCATAACATTTTTCTTTATAGATTTCCATGGCAAATACCTATTTATATTCATAGACAGTTTTTGTATGCGATACCCGAACGCGAAACGTAATGAAATACGACAATCCACCGCAATTTCTTCGGGAAAAAGTCAACCCTTTTCCACAGCAATAACGAAAGGCAACCCAGGATAAAACCCCCTCGAAATTCTGAATGATTCGTTAACGGTTTTGGGTATGCTAAATCGATGTGATCGTTGATTACATCCAAAAGCTTTTACCCTGGGAATGAAGGACCAACATTTCCAGACTGGTTTCCCGGTTGCCAATTATTTTTTTTCTTCTGCAACCAAGTACCATAATGCGCATGCGTCAGTTGGTAACGGGAAGGTTCTTCTCGGGCTTAACTTCCCTTGTAAAATCTTACAGAGCCATGAATGAGAAGAAAAAGGTGACATTTATTTTATCGATCAGTAGGGCTTGATTAAACACAATTTAGGAAAGAAAACTCAATTTTGGAAAACAAAAATGAAAATGTAAAAATTCGGGGATTCGAGCCCGCAACCTGCAGCATCTGGACCACCGTATTAGCGTAGCACGACATAGTTAAGCCCCGCTATCTGCCGTGGAATATAATTATTATAAGAAATATTGAGGGTTTGCGATAAAACCATGTGGAAGAATAGGCCTACCTATTGAGAAGTTCTGTGGTTCTGAACAGGACCGGCAAGGGCGGATCCAGAACACAATTTATTTGGGGGGCCAAAAAAATTATTGGTCCCCCAAAAATGTGTCCAAAAAAATTACGGCGTGGGGTTCGGAGCCCGCTTAAGGGCCCCGACATTTTTTGTTTTTGGATTCTAGATGCTCTGTGGTGCGATCTAAGGCAATTTCTGACCACTTTAACCAATGTGTTTTTTTGTAAGGAAAAGATAGTGGTTTACTCATTGCCTGCCTTTATTGCGAAGTCTTAAAAAAAATGGATTTTTTTTTTTTTAGGGGGGGGGGGATGGCCCCCTTTGGCCCCCTCCCTGGATCCACCCTTGAGAACCGGTTGGTTGTGAAACCCAACGTTCCGATCAGTATGCTCTGATCGTCTTCAGCAGGAAAAAAGTATAAGTAGTTATTTCAAATCATGTGACATAGTTAATTTTTCACGTGATACGTTGCACGCATGCGTATTATAAAATATAAAATAATCAATAAAAATAAAAAATAAAAATAATCAATAAAAATATTTGCAGCCGGTTGTATTCAAGACATGACATCACGTGACAGTCACGTGGTGGGGACAGGGCAATGCCCTGCAGTTTAGATTGCATTAATTTGCTGCCCCGTACTTGCAATACGGCGACTTCCAATGTTCGTTTTCAATGTAATTCCTTAAACGATGCATCCTGTACGCTTCATTGATACTAATGACTGACATCTTAATGTGTGTTTCTTTTCTACACGATAGTACAACGACCTCGGAAGCTGTTAACGTTAATCCCAGATCATTTTCAGCACGCAGATGATAACCCGAAGACGTGTAATGACACAATCTTAAATAAGTAATGTCGTTCGATGGCCATTAACTAATACCTGTATTAGTGTCTGCACGTAATATTAAAAAGTGCACTCACCAAACAGAATGTGACATTTGGGAACCACTTGTTTTTTTTTTTCAGCGTATGTACTGTGTGTAAACAAAGCTTGTCTTCTGTAGATTGGAAACTTTTGTGGTTGAAAATGAAACAAAACAAATATATTTCAATCTCCATCTGCCGTGCCTGCGTTAAGGATCACGTTTTTTTTCCCACTAAAGAGGAAAATGGTATCTTTGGCGCATCGTTTTGTTTGTATTTCACATTGTGGTAAACCATTCGGCGCCAAACCTCCTGACTGGAAGGCCTACGATGCACCAGAGATACCATTATTCTCTTTATTAGGGAAAAAACGCTTTCCTTAACGCAGGCACGGCAGATGGAGATTTAAATATATATTTGTTTTCTTTTCATTTGCACCACCATCGTTAACTTCCAGTACAGGATGATTTTTTTTTTATAAACTTATAGGATCACTATCTTTCGCAACATCTTCATTAAATCTCTGGTGAGGTGTGCCGTGCGGAAAATATGGCGTATATAGGATAACGAGATTGCTGATCTAAAACTTTAGAGTATAGTTGGACGATACATTTGGAAAAAGTTTTACCTTCTATCAAGAAAATAACGCGCACAACTATGAATTTACTATCTGTTTGAAAATTAAGCTAGAGCATTTTGGTATGGCTTGCTTTCATCTTGCAATGGAGACAAAAACAAATCACCATTTTAGACCCTACATGCATAAATATTGATAATTAACGTGAAATACGGTTCCCCACCTTTTCAACACTTGGTGGCAGCAGATAATCACAAATGCCATCTTGAAAGGTTCACCTAGCAATGAGCTTGCGCAAAGGTGTTCTCAACAACTGGGAATTGTGAGAAAAAAATCGCCTAGCAGCGAACATACGCAAAAGGGTTCTGAATCAGTTGAGAATAGCGGGTTCGATTTGCCCGTGCATCGACCGAACTAAAAAAGAGGGCAATGGACTTCATTTTACCCCACCCAAAGATTAAACGAAATTATGACTATAGTATTGTGTTTCAGCTGTGAAAAAAAATATTCTATGAAAATTACAGCTCCGACTGAAGTCCCCAGGTCGGCTGTGCGTTTTTGTTTCGGTTGATCCAAATGGATTTCCAATCCCCTGGTATATAGTTTATTTGATTATACGTACGCCGTACCTGGGGACTGAAGCTGGTTGAACACAACTGACCCTTTTTGCGACGACTATTTCTGTAGCGATCTGGCAACAACTATATTAAACGCCGATTTTAGGTGTGTTCGCGAAAAGAAGTGTTTTTCTGGAACAACCTCTGAATTTGTTGTAGGTTCTGCCGTCCTGCAGCCCCCTCCCTTTTTTAGGGGGGGGGGTGTTTTTCAGCCACGTTGTAAGGCTTTATTTCTCGAAGGCCAAACAATCTTGAAGTAATCACCCTTTGGCGATTCATCAACTTGGTTTCTTGTTGGGGTAAATCTCACGAGACTGAAACACAATTCAATCAAATTACAAATGCATTGCACCTATATAATGGACAACCGTCCCCGCTTGAACCCTTGAATCCATTGCGGTGTGTTGTGCACGGTATGTACAATTTTGAGCAATGTGTCTTCGTGTTTTCGCTGCAAGGTTTCACAAATTAATGTGTTTGTTCTTTTGTTTACTTCTTTGATTTTCAAAAAAACCTATCCCTTATTACATGGAGGAGATCACAGATTCGTAAGGAAAGCTTAAGTGCCTGGAAGGTTTTTTTTAGTTATAAGGTGGAAACTTTTTTATAGTTACTGACAATGTGACTTTGAATCGATAAACGGGTCACTGTTGCTGGCTGATACACAGGTTGTTTGTCACATTTAATTGATGGATCCTCAAAAGTGTCACAGTCTGCCAGATCTTTAACACTATCGATTGCAGGAAATGCAACAGTTTTGGTGTCACGTACCTCTGAACGGTCCAGTTGCATTGATGTTGCCGCAAGGAAACTTATATTTGTGACTTCCATTTCTTGTTGCGCATCTCTGCGTAACCGAACACCATAATTTGCGGCATAAAGTACTCCCCGACCATTTTCTATAATAGCCCAGGATTTCAGTTGGACGCAAGCGCTTTTGGGTCAGTTAAGATCCCGCGGATTTGCTCCTTCCTATAACCCCTGAAATTGAACACCCGATATCCTTGAGGTACAGTTTGGAAACAGACTCGGAATCTCTTAAGGGTTGTTGCTCCGTTATAAAGTGTTGCTGATCCCTGCAGCGACGCTACCCAAATGAATTGAGTAAAAACACGATCCTGTAATTTTCCCTCTAATATTTTTGTTTTGATAAATACGTCTGCCCTGACTGAAAACAGGAAACTAGTATTACTGCATTAATTATTTGGTAGGGAAAGGACTAATGCACCTACTAAAAGACAGAAGAAGAAACACGGGAGGGTCGATAAGCTCTCCTGGGTCATCTCTCTTTGTGTCGCCTCTTTTGTCGTTCGGACTACGTGACTGACCGCACACCAAACTTTACTGTTCGTTGTGTTCACCCGAGCTGTTGTGAAATCTCGCGAGATTTGTTCCGTCTCCGTTCACTGCTGCACGGATCAATGTACACGCGTGGTGACATCAAAATAGCCGTATGGTCATTAAAATCAACCTTACACAACCCGAGAGGTTGTAGTTTCATTGTGTTTTCACATACAAATGGCCAGCTTGTGTAAGACATGATGACCATTCTTTGTATAATTTGATACTAGTATACATTTTTTATGTCGCATCTTTAAAAAAAAAAGGTTAACGATATCACATTTCCTTTCAACACCGGCTTTTCAGATCATCCTTTTAAAGAAATCCGATTACAAAGATTAAACCAAAAAGTCACGTGACGAAATGACGGTTTAGCTTTCCCCAGCCAGGCTGTTAAAAAAAATGTTCAGGACATTCAATAGCTTGAGTGTAGCGGTTAGGATTAATGATGCCTTTATTCATCTGACCTTTCGCTTCTATTCATTGATGACACTTATACTCTCAACCTGTATTGTGTGTGTTCTCCAGACGATGCAATAATCTGTACTGCATCATTGAAATTCGTCTGTAAATTCCACAATGCAAATTATCCTGCCGAGTATCAACCAAAGCAGAAGGAAATTGTTTGTACCTGTCCGCTGTCAGTCAGGTAAGACAAGGTGACTCGATCGTCGCAGGTTTAGTGATAATAGTGCTCTACGCGTTATCAATTTACATCTGATCATTTTAAATCTGTTCGGTTGCAGACCGCAGACAACATGTTCCCAGCTTCACTCACACGTAACAGAAAGAAGAGCCTGTTGTCCACGTGCATGATTCTGTCACAATGTCTTGCTTGTGTCGGTCCTATAGGTTATTGTTAGATCTCTTTGAAGCATTTCTTTTCCGGGGTAAAATAACATTTAAAAGCATTTACATCTCCCCTAGTCAACTGTCTTGCTATCGATCAGCCTCGTTTCGTGCACGATTTTGCCAGCAAAGGTTTTATATAAAATTTTGTAAATTAAGAAGTTTTATCTATTTTTACAAGCCGTAAAATTTTTGATTTTGACAACACTGGAATCCCGAAAAAGAATTTCCACTTTTAGATAAGCATATTGCCCTGTATTGATCGTGGATTAAACTACTTAAACAATTCCTTGAAAACAAAACTTAATGATTAGGAAGGTCGGTTTGTTTTCAGGATAATTTCTGCAACATCTTTATCTCTTCTATCTGTGGTGTATGTCAAATTATGAAACTGTTTACGGGATCGGATCAGTGAAAACTCAATCATGCGTGGGAGTGGATAGGCCTACAAGGTGATAGTTAATTGTTATAATATGGTGGTACGTAATCACGTTTGCCTGTAACATCCATTAGTCCTTTTTGAGTCCAAATTTAATTAATAAATGTTTCCTGTTACTTACATACTGCATGAAGGCCACGGTTTTGCAGAGGAAATCTCCATAAATCCAGTCTGTCAGGATGAACTGGGACGCAGTGATGGGCGCACAGATGACGATAAACACCATATCCGTGATGGCGTTATTCATAATGAAGAAATTGGTGACGGTCCTCATGGAACGATTGCGGGCGATGACGACCACGACACAGACATTGCCGACCAGACCCACGATGGTAATGATCCCAAAGATGATGGGCACCAACACGGTGTGAACCCCTACCTCGGGCTCAGTCCCAAAAGCGCTGGAGTTGTAGTCGTAGAAGGAGTAGAGGTACGAGAAGGAAGCGGAGTAGGAATAGTCCTCCCCCATACTGCCTCACTTAGCTAGAAGTTCGCTTCGACACGGAGTGGGTAGAAAACAACACGCCTGAACTCGAAAGATAATGCTCCTTGTCGACAGGAGGAGATGGATCGACGGGGTGTCCTCAACAAGCTTATTCAGTATTCCATCATGTTCCAGTTGGGTTGCCCTGATGTCCGAGTTAACAGCGCTCTGGGATACAACTTGTCTCTCGAGAGGTGAGCAAGCTGTTGCTTCCCGCTAGAAAACGAGGACAGTGAATGGAGGAGAATGTAATGTCATCAACGGACTGGGGAATCGCTGATTGCAGACCCCCTGCGATGTTGAGATGAAAAGGGGCTGTCTCTCTCTCTGGCAGCTGTCGCGTGATGAGCCTGGACGGGATCGGGCTTGTTCATCTGCGTCTTTCTCCCGAGATCACAGCGATATATATTTTTTTTTTCCTTCTTAAAGCAAGCGACACATGTGCGCTGCCTGGTTTGCTAACATTGTATCTTCTCCAATGCGTGAACGGTCAGGACAGCCAGGACACTAATTGGGATGGGTGAGTAATCCACACAGACGCAAGTGCTTCACTGTTGCTTCTTTGTCAGATGCCGTTGGGGGAGTACACATCACAAGTCAAACATTTCCAACACTCACATCCCACTGTCGGCTCAGTGGCAAGCGTTGAGTTGAGTTGAACCCCACATCACACGGGGAGCAATAAGGCTTCACTGGTTCCACCTGAGGATGACCACGATACCTGTGAATTGGCGGGGCCAGGGCACCAGCTAGTCTAGTCCGTGCCCTGCACGCAGAATATCGCAGCTGGCGCGGTAATCCGAGGTCTAATCTGAAATCGTCTTCTGATTCGTTGACGGTGCTCGAGTCACGTCTGGGATGTTTGCAGGAAATCGAGAGAAACTGTAAACGCGAGAAAAGGGCAAGTCCTATCTTTGCGGATTAGCGTTTCTACTGGGATTTAAAGTAGCGGTGAAACATTTATCTACTTTATGTTTTGGCTTGTTTCAGGGGATCTTTTTTTCACGGTAGTTGAAACCGCCAAGACAAAGGAAACCAAGTATAGGAAAGAAGAAAACCAGCCAACGCTGCATTGTACCTATTTCTGATAGTAATTAAGAGCTTTGAGTCGAAGAACGCCCTCTGTTGCTACTTTGGTCTCGGAATAATTCTAGCTTTTATGTATTTAATGGCTTAAAGAGTTATAGGGCCTACTTATTTTGTTTCTAAAATGTAGATATAATTAAGCATTAACTTTCCACACTATTTATTTTCCCCAACGCATTCAAACAAATCGTAAATGATATATTTATTGTTTTTAGTGGTTCGATTTTTTTCCGCACACGCGCGGTTATATTGCCAAGGTACTCTGAAGAATATTTGGCCAAGGTAGACGCCAATGTCACGTGACCAAAAATAAGAAGAATTCGGCCCATTTCAAAAAAATGTTCGAAGTTTTATTGGACATGTAGCTCGGGTGTTTCCGTGCATAATGTGCTTTTATTTACCGACAAAATGCATGTCATGATTGTTACCAGTCCTGGATGTTGGAGTTTGTTAAATAAATAGGCCTACACAGGACATAATATCCACAGTACATTCATTTGTATTTAATGTCCATATTTCCTCAAGTATTCACAAGTGAACACAATTTTTGAATGTGAAGGCTAATAATAAGATCTATTAAGTGACGTCAGGGAACCAGACTACTACTTAGTTTGCCCCTGTAACATGTCGTGTCATCCTGTCAAAATGTATGAACAGTATGTGCATATGAATAAGACAACATTTTTATGTACTTGTGGGTGCGTTTGCAAAGTCCGGCCGTTAAAATATGCCCACGCATGCAACATGCAGGCTCTAGAGTTTTGTTACATTGTGCAGGGATTAGTTTTCAGCCATAGAATTAGCGCTATTTGACAAGCCTTGTCCAGTGTTGCCACAGTCAACAATGAATCGTTTGCCCAAAAGGTAGATTCCAGATATGCCATGTTTGCGAAAGGATATCGGGAGTATCTGAGAGAAACGACAACGCGCGGTCAGTGTTCAATGTCCGTCACCTATCGTTCACTGACGGCGGCCCACTCGAGTTCAATGACTAAGATGTACATTATTTGGTCGGTACCCTGACCCTCCGGCAAGCCTCTTTCACAACCTCTTCTCAACAACATAAAACCCCGTCTTGATTCCAATCAGTCTTTGGACTTTATGATCAGTTGCCGGCAAGCGAATCCTGAATAAAATAGAAGTTTGAAATGTTCACGACTGTCCTTGAAGCAAAATATTATCCTCCATTAAAAACAAAAATAGAATTCTAACCCTTTGTATAAATGTCAAACCCTTGAGGAACGACAATCAAGAGCTGTTATAAGAGGAAAACGAATCAAGCAAACAATAATCAAGTGATGATTCATTAAACTAGGATTATGGTTGCTTGGTGTGTTATTATTTAAGATTTACCGCTTCTGGACGGTATATCCATCCTTTGGGAAAACTCGTGGTTGTAACAACTATCCTACCAATGTTCATGTTTTTTTTTTTGGGGGGGGGGTCGTGTTTTGAGCGGAGAATGACCGAATTATCCCGGAGGGGAAATATTTTCTTTGGGTTTATCGTCTGGAGTTTGTTCCCCCAACCGAGTGTGCTTACAATTCCTCCTCTTGGTTACCTTTTGGTTGACAAGAGTAGATTTATCGGTAAGATAGCAATGCAAATGCATCAAGTGGGCAAGACTAGAGAGCTCTTAACACAGGGAACATTATTAAAACACGCGAAGCCGAAATGAAAAGTGCCCGCGCGATAGTGCTTCTCACAGCTACTCGTTGATTGCCTGGGCTTAATATTGGTTCGCGGATTAGGTTGTGACTAAATTGGACATTTATTCTATTTGTTTGTGGCAAACGTTCCTATTTATTTCTTTATTGGTGTTGGGTATGTACGCACGGACAAAAGACCATTATGTGTGGCAAATTCACTTAGTCTCCTATACTGTACCGTGGAATTGCTTCATCGTCTACAAGGGCCTATATTAAAAATCAGTCAAACTAACCATTTATCTATTTATTTTTGATCAGTGTTATTAACTGGAAATCTGCGGTGATGTAGAATCAACTTGAAAGCTGAAGCGTGTTTACCTTAGTTGTGGAGAACTAGAGAAAGCGGTCTTTCTTTGACGTTATTGTATAACCCTGGGAGGCGCCATCGTTTTATTTTAGTTGTAATCCACAACGGTACTGAACTTTTCAGTATGAAGGTGCACGTGTGTTACGGTCTAACACCATCCCTTCAGTTGGCGTTTCGGTGAACATAATCCCTTCTCATAGTCTCTAAAAAGATGGATAGAGGGCTTCTTTGCACCAAAAAACCCATTTTCAAGCCAAAAAAAGTGTATACATGCCCAGATTACTCTGTATTTGGTCAGTACCCGTGCGAGAAAGGTTCGATTTTTATCTTCCTGATTTTCTGCCTGGCCATCCACATGATGATTAATGGCCTTATGGTGCTAACAGCAGCTATACTTACAATACAATACAATTACAAAACTATACGTGACAATACAAATCCTATAGGAGTTGGCCTGGGTCTGATTTTTGCCTCAGAAAATTTTGCTCAAAAGATCAACCACTGTTAAAGGGCCACTCACGGTGTAACACCCCGCCCCTCCCCAGTGATGCCATGGGCCTCTTAATGTACCCCCCCCCCCCCCTCAGAACTGGGAGAAGAAGAAAAATGGAGCATCGGAGATTGTACTGTCTGATAATATGATTAAACCTTTTGAGCGTTTCTCCGGAAAACGAGGCCCTCTATAATAAAAGTGTTCAAAAGTTGTCACTCGTTAGCCTTCATCCCGAGGTGGAAATGCGCGCTTCCTCTTCATTGATTTTTCCCAGGATAACGTTTGGTTTTTTGGCATAATCGAGGAAGCTGCCAAGGCCTGTGCATCATGTTGCCTCCAAACATCACCAGCTTTAATACTCAGTCAATGCAAGTTCCGGGAACAGAAAAGAAAAAAACATGTCGATGGAGTCGGATTGTGTAACCTCGGGGGAATTGGAAATTAATTTGATGCACATGCAATTAGACTGGCCCCTCGCAGTGGTTATGGATATATGCAATCACCTGTGATTGCCAGAGAGCTCAGGGCAACATATGCGCGTCGATATTTTTTAGGTTGAAAGTCCGCGGAGGTATTCCAGTGGTGAATTGGGTATGCATGACCACGTGCCCGGAGTGCTCCAGCTACATGATTGTCCACATTTTTGTTCCCAACTAGTCGATTTCTCTTAGGCAAATCGAGTGAGCCCAAGTAATCCTGCTCATTCGTCTTACGGTTTAAGTGAGCCAAAACAACCGTCGTTAAGGGTATGAGTGTATGTGGTAACACAGACTCGAGGCCCGGTTTTCCGATAAAACGGGGATGATGGATGCGTTGTTTTTGGGGGGAGAGGGAATGTAAGAGCTTGGTATGGTAGGATTGCGATTCGGCGTTTGCTCATTTCGCGGGCTCCCGCCTCTTACATGTCTGATTCTCTAAATATGTCGAAGTGGGAACTGTAAAGCGAAGTGTCCGTTTCAATTAGTTTTCAATGTTTTTCACTGGGATGCCAAATTGCTGCCTCGCACACCGTGTGAATGTCGTCGCAACTGGAACAATCGAGGGGACCGCTAAAAATGAACGCGAGCGTGGGAGACGTATATGCGGGTCCAGTCGGGAAAGGTTTATGATGACATCAGCATTTGGTGTTGTTGGTTATCGGAAGGACTATCGGCAATAGGCATCTCGCGCCCAAAAAAATGGGGAGATGTTGATACGTGAGCTCATTGAAATTCAAATAACCACCTAAAATGACCAAGTAGGTGATATTATAGGCCCTACTGAGCCGAATGTGTCTCCCATACTCACATCATTTCCATCCACTAATATAATCACATAGGCTTAGACTCAATGCTAGATCTCTGGGATTGTAACAACAAATAAGTACACCTGTATAAACGGACAGATGAAC